CTACCAATAGGAGGGGGCAAGGGGGAATTAGCACTAGGCCCCCAATTAAAGGGGCCCCCAGTCTCAGGTTTATAGTGAACTCTTGGGGCTTGGGGGGCCTAATACAAACTTTAAAATACAACTTTCAATATTGATGAGATACATAATAGTTACAAAACAGTAAAGAGTGCTGTATGGCTAATAACGGCAGAGGGGTGGAGTCGAGACAGCCAATACAGCTATGTGTATAGCTTTGGATATTTTTGGAATTTTTTGAAATGGCTGTAATTTGAAAAATTGAAGTCGGAATCACCTCAAACTTTCTACACAGCATAAGGACATTAATATGCATCAGATAATGTGATAAAACTTTTTAGTGATTTTGGCGTTTTCTTAAAATGGGTGTAGCTTGAAAAATTAAAGTTGCAATCACCTTAAACTTTCTACACAGCATAAGGACATCAATATGTATCAGTAAATGTAAAAAAATTTGGGGTGATTTTTGGCCATTTTTTGGGAAAAACCATGGGCTATATAGCCTTGGGTATTTTTCAGAATTTCGGCATTTTCTTAAAATGGTCGAAACTTGAAAAATTGAAGTCTGAATCAGCTCAAACTTTCTACACAGCATAAGGACATCAATATGTATCAGTAAATGTAAAAAAATTGGGGTGATTATTTGGCCATTTTTTGGAAAAAAACAATGAGCTATAGCCTTAGGTATTTTTGAGAATTTTTTAAAATGGCCGTAGCTTGAAAAATTGAAATCAGATTCACCTTAAAATTTCTACTCAGCATAAGGACATCAATATGTACCGGAACATCTTATAAAATTTTAGGGGGTTTTTTGGCCATTTTTTGGAAAAAACCCTAGGCTATATGGTTATTTTTCAGAATTTAGGTGTTTTCTTAATATGGCTGTAACTTGAAAAATTGAAGTTGAAATCACCTCAAACTTTCTACACAGCATAAGGACATCAAGATGTATTAGAAAATATAATAGAAATCTGGGCTGATTTCGGAGCCATTTTTTGAAAAAAAACCTTGGGCTATAGCCTTAGGTATTTTTCAGAATTTTGGCGTTTTCTTAAAATGGCTGTAACTTGAAAAATTGAAGTCGGAATCACCTCAAATTTTCAGCACAGCATAAAAACATCAATATGTATCAGTAAATGTAATAAAAATTTGGGGTGATTTTGGAGCCATTTTTTGGAAAAAACCATGGGCTATAGCCTTGGGTATTTTTCAGATACCCAATATACAGTACACATAAAAAAAAGTCTAAATTGGGTACAGTAGAGAAGAGAACCTTGAAGGTAGTTTGTAGGTACATTGTACTTTGCTACTACTTCGCTACTCTTTGCTGCATTATGCTGCGATCCTACCCAGTCACATGTACTGTAGTAGAACTTGTGGATGCTTCTTTTGGCTGTCTGTCCTCTCCAAGTTCATCTATAATGCCACTCTCTCCTTCTAGAAGCCTGTTTAGGATGTTTTTGCTTGATTCTACTGTCACGCTACTGTCTTCTACTGTCACACTACTGTCCTGCTACTGTTGCAGTAAGCATGCGCAGAGAAGGAGCAACGAACTACCTACACAAAAGTAGAATAACTGCGGGGTAGCTACTTAGCCTTTTTTTGATATGTACTGTATTTCCCAGTATCTCCAGTAGTGCTGGATCAGACACAAAGAAGAACCGAGGAATTTGTAGATATACATACATGTAGTTAGAGTATATACTGACCTATGAATAATAAACCAATCATACAATCATTAATGTACATGTACATGTTCATAGTAAAGTGCTGTACATGTCATGTATACAGTATAGACCTACCATCTTCATCATAATTGCTCATGGTGTCATCAATCCTGTTAGAAAACTCTAGCAGAAGGTTCCAAGTGTCTTTGGGTATTGCCAGCTCTTTTATAATGAGACTGAGAGAAGGAGAGAGAGAGAGAGATGAAATGTAACCTTTACATGTAATTACAAGTATTGTTTACTCTTAAAAATTCACACCACAAGTCCAAAAATTTGAAGCGACCAGTAAAAATAAGATTCCAGCAGGCAATGGCCATCTCAAGATCTGTAGAGAAATAAAAAGCACAAAAATATTTTAATCAATTCATACAATATACATTAAATTATACATGTACATGTACTCTTAAGATCACTTGCAAAATTCCCACATCAACACGTGTACACTGAAATCATTGTGTTGCAAGTTTAGCAAACATGATCCTACATGTACATGTATAATATTATGTCACTAGCCTAGTCCTTTCTGCCTGAGTTTTTGGCAAAATTAAACGTAAACTGGTAGAAGTCCTTGAACTGTTGTGAGTCCTGTATCTCTCAATTAATGGTCTCACACCTTTTATGGAGTTTATCAATGGAATCACACCTAAAAGAGGGAGAGGGGGGAGAGAGAGGGGGGAGAGAGAGGGAGAGAGACAGAGACAAAGAGAAAGAATTATACATTTATTTGTAAAAAGAATTTCAATTATGCTTTTATGCTTAAAGCAAAACTCATGAAATACAGTGATAAGAACATGTACAACATAATAGGAGAATGTTCATGTGCAATGAATGTGTCCATCAATACACACACTGCATGTACTGTACCTTCCAAATGGAGAAGAGATCCTTCAAAAACCATCAACTGCTTCATCAAAGTAAGTATCACCTAAACACTAGTAATATGTACTAGCACAATGAGGATACAGTAACTGACCATTGGGATCAA